GGCTCAGCCCCGGCGCCCGGCCCGGTGCACAGCACCCCGGACCCGGTGCATATCCCGGTGCACAGCACCTCAGCCCCCGTGTGTGTCCCGGTCCCAGCCCCGGTGCACAGCACCTCAGCCCCAGTGCGCGTCTCGGTTCCCAGCCCTGGTGCAGAGCACCTCAACCCCGGTGCACGGTCCCGGTGCACAGCGCCTCGACCCCGGTGCATGTCCCGGTTCCCGGCCCCGGTGCAGAGCACCTCGGCCCCGGTGCATATCCCGGTGCAGAGCACCTCGGCCCCGGTGCATATCCCGGTGCACAGCACCTCAGCCCCCGTGCGTGTCCCGGTGCACAGCACCTCCGCTCCGGTGCGCGGTCTCGGTGCACAGCACCCCGGTCCCAGCCCGCCGCCGCCTCCTCACCTTGGGGTCCCCGAAGGCGCACAGCCCCCGCTCCATGCTGCCCGGTGATGCCCCCCTCTCCCGCCGTTCCCACGGGAGCCGAGCGCCCGGGCGGCTCCCCGCCGCGCCCGGAACGTCCAGGGAAATCCCGGGGCGAGGACCAACAGCTCAGCTCGCAGAGCCGGAATGTGGTCGCCGGCTTCGACTGCAGCCTTAAGCCAACGCAACAATATTTTTTTTAACCTAAAAAGGGCTTGGTTGTTCAGCTGAGGAGCGATCGTCCCTCACCCCCTTTCCTGCTTACAAAGCTGCTGCTCGCCGACTCGCTTGTTTTGTCCGACGGCTTTTCGGACTTGTTTGGGCCATCGTACACCTGCTTTCAGCTCCTGCGAGCTCACGCTCAGCGCTTCATTCCTTATTTTTAGTGACCTGGCCATGTTTTACTCCGCTCCTCTGCTTCCCGCCTTCCTCTCCCATAGGCGATGCACATGGCGGCCCGCGTCGTTGAGGGACAGCGGGGCAGAAAGTCTTGCCCCTCCCCACCCAGCATGGCTTCTGGGGTACCGGAGAAAGCAGAACTTTCAGCCACCCCAGTCTTGAAGCACCCACAAAGTCGCACCCATGTAGCTAAAGGCAAATCTGCAAGGTGGAGCCGCTCCCCGGAGGGACCCAGGAACCTCCCCCGGGTCCCCGTGCAGCCCTGGGTGGGATGAGGTCCCAGGTGCCCGGCAGGCGCTGAGCAGGCAGGTGGTGTTTCCAAAATCGCTGCAGAGCCAAGGAGCACGGTTTCGTTCTGCACGACTGGAGTTCACCCGCCCGGTGAGGCCGTCCCCCGACCACGGGCCGGGTCTGCGGGGAGCCTTGGAGGTGGAAAACCACCGTATCGGTGTAAAATACTACTGGCTCTGGTGTGTAAAGCACTCAGGGCTGTGGGTGTGAACGCTACCGCAAATGGTGGGAAAATAAAGTTTCCTCTTCTCCTTCCCCAGCTGTGTTTACAGCAGGGGACACTGTGGAAGCTGACAGCAGGGGATTAGCTACGCCGGAGCCCTGTCCCGGCAACCGGGACGTGCCCCAGCAAGGTGACATGAAAGAGCCCAAGGGAGCGAGCAGCCCTGACGGCGGGGGCTGCAGCCTGCTGCTTCGTAAACGCAGAACGTGCTGTGCGGTCGTTGCGCCGCAGGGAAATGTCACCGGCATCCCTCGCCGCTCCTTCCCAGCTTTGCCATGAGAGCAGTGACGGAATTTCTGCCCCGAAGCCAAGTAGGCATTGAGAAAACAGCAGTTTTCCAGCTCAAATCCCAAGGTCATTTGTGTATGTGCACCGCAGCGGAGCCCGTGGGAAAAGCACAGGGCTTGGCTGGGGAGGAAACTTCATCGGCGTGTGCTCTTTTATTAAGTACCACCTTTCAGAGATGCCCTGGCTGCATCCGTACTGTCGAGATGAAAGCGCATTAGCCACAGTTAACTGGCAAAAATATTCTTTACAAAAAAGCAACTGGCAGGGGAAAGTAACTGTTGGCTGCCAAGCACGGTGCCAGCACCGCTCAGGGCTTTCGGGAGCCTGCGGGATGGAGCAGCGCTGCGCCGGGCCCATGGGAAACCAGCGGGAATCAGCTGCAGGTACTTTCGGCACTAAAACTTGTGATTTCTGGAGTCGCCAAAAGGTGACGTGGTTCCAGGCTCCCACAGCTTTGCAAATGCCGAATGTGGGTAAAACTCCCCTGGGTGCGCACCGAGGGTCTCAGCAGAAATAAAACGCTGGAGCGTGCAAATTAGCAACGGGGTGTGCAGCTGTCCCTGGGCAAGGTGAGCTCTGGCTCGCATGGACCGTTTCACCTCCACGTCACGGGCTTTTCCAGCAGCCACTTGAAAAACATCTGTTTTGCCTGGAGAATGGCTCACAGCATCCCACGCCGGAGGCCTGACTTCTGCGTCAGAGCGGCTGTAGCAGAAATGGGCCCTGTGTGAGCACCCAGCGCTGTCTGCTGCCCTGCTGCGGGCACAGCCTTGCTCCATGCATCATCCCCACCGGGAGGACAGGAGGACAGAAGGACAGAGGTTACTTAGAGCCTTTATTTGAGATTAAAGGAACTTACATGGTAAAAATAGCATGTGGGTAATTTTCGGCTGGGAGAAGAGTTGTTAGTGAAGGTCAGGAAGAGGCAAATGGAGCTGAACTGGCCCCGGCGACTGGGAATGGTGCAGTAAGGGGTTTTTGATGGTTTTTTTCTGCTTAGCAAATACATGCATGCTGCAGACTCAGCACTTTCCAGGAGTGTCAACGCCAGCACCGCACAGCGCATTCATTGCACGCAACTGTGTGCAGAGCCTTAGAAATAAGGCTTGGGCTGCTTTTAATTGACCTGACCCTGATCCACTTTATCCATCTTTGCTTAATCGGGCGGTTGTGACAACTGCTGCACTGTTGACATTCAGTGAATGTTCTCCTACAGAGAGCAGCACACCTCTGCAGCCGGGAGGCTCAAGAAGAACAGGAGTCTGTTATTTAATGGCTGATGGTGGCTTCCCAGGCGGGGACCTCTGTTCCACCCAAACCCTTGCTTGGACATTTGTGTCGGACGTCATTTGCTTTCCCTTCCATTTTGCTCATACCTTTAAGTGATGTGTAAAGGCAGACAGCCCTGTGCTGAGCTCAGCTTCGAGGAACCATGCTCTCGAAGTGGAGAAGAGATGAAACCCCTTCAGCATGACGGATGGTCCCCAGAGCCTCGCTGTTAGGAATAGAAAGCAACCACAGCTTGGGGGGGAAACAGGATTATGAGGGGCCCCAGTGTGATTTTGCTCACTCGCTTTACGTCGCTGCCCCAAGTTGAGCCTCTCCTGAGCTCTGCAACCAGAAGGAGAGGCAGTCCCAGGCGGGGGACGCACATCTGGGCAGCTGCAGGAGCACCAGGGCTGTGGGAGCGAGGGATCGGCGCACGCTAACAGGGCTGGGAGATGCAAGAGGCACCCCAGGCTGCGCTACCACGCGTGGAAGCGGGCACAGGCTAGCAGGGAGGGCAAGAGGGACCTCTCGTGCTTGGGGCAGTCTGGCCGAGCACGAGGCAGCACGTGAGGATGTTCTGGGGCCATCCCTGGGGAAGTGACGGCTCGTCTGCACAGCCGGCCTGCGGCTCTCGTCTCTGCTGTTGATTCTTCGTCTTTTGTACGTGTAGGAAAATCCCAGGCAGCAAAGTAGGGGTAAAACTCACCTTGGAAGATATTCCAACGCTTATTTTCCAGGGATTATATTAAAACCTGCTCCCTTTCTCTTGCCCCCACAGCTAAGCCCAGCCGTGTGTCAGGGTTGCTGACACCCACAAACAACTTCCCCAAAATACTAAAAAGCGTGCTTATACTGGGCTTAGGTTTTCAAGGAAAAAAGCACTTCTCTGATCGGTTTTGGGGTTTTTTGTTTGTGGTTTTTTTTTTTACCAGATACCAAAGAGTGTCATGCTACAGCCCATTGTAAGCGGCTAAGAGCGGAAAAAAGTGTTTAGATTTATTCTACCAGTAAGAGATTATAAATGCTGATGTCCTGTATAAACACAACATACTGCTATACTGGTTGTTTTTGCAAGAGTGGATGCTCTCGGCCCAAACATCCATTGCTTCTGCAAAATTTTTGTTTTTGAGACAAAGCCCTAACTTGTCTCAGCATTTCCCATTTAACTCCTGCAGCTTCCCCGCAGGGCAGGGGAAACCTCTGCCCCGGGGCGAGCCATCGCCAGTCCCCACGCTGGAGTAACTGGTGGGAAGTCAGCTGCATCCTGCTTGGTTCCTGCTGGGGATCACAGGACCCGGCGGTCAATGGAAAGGCAAAAACCCAGCTGAGCAGCCACCCTGCTCCCTGAAGGGATTTCATTTCCCCTCTGCTCTCAAAGGAGCTGGAAGCAGACCCAACACTGGCCTCCAAAAGCAGAAGCAGCTCCTGCATTGCACCACGGTCCCAGGCAGGCTTTCCCCCAGCTCTCCATCAGCAGGGAGCAGGTGATGGGCTTTTGCTAAGGATACTTATGCCACCGCAGCCCCAAGAGCATTAGGGCAAATGCAGGGGGCCACTGAGCAGCCCCTTGGAGGGCTGGTGGCTACCTGGGTACCCCTGAGAGCTGCTGCTGGGCAGACCTCGCTGGGGGCTCCTGCCCGGTGCTGCTCCCAAGGAAACCACGACCCTCACACCACTAAATCGAGGGCACCCTCAGTCAGTTTGCAGATGACACCCAGCTGGGCGGGAGCGTTGCTCTGCTGGAGGGCAGGGAGGCTCTGCAGAGGGCCCTGGCCAGGCTGGAGC